GACCTGTGTTTTTTGATCATTTTTATTTTTGTTGCTTGGTGTTAGTTATATAATGTGATTTATATACAGTGCCTCCGAGTGCTGTAATAAATTGATAGCTCTTGCTGGGTGAACACACAAGTACTATCACTCTTTTCTCTAAATGTGCTGAATTTTGGCTTAGAGAAGCCTGACAGACGTCTTTCCTCCCAGTCAGAGGTCTGAAAAAAGTAAGCATAGATGAAACTAGCTTGGTTAGTCATTGCTGAAACACAGGAAAAATTAAAATACATTTTTTGCTTGTAAAGTGGAGAAAAGCAATAAAAACAATGCCAGACGGTTAATGCCTCTCTTGTACCTTTCATTTCAAAGACCTCAAAAGAACATCAAGAAGAATAAAGGCAAAATCTATTCCCTATTGGCATCATTATAAATGTTGTATCCTCTAAAACTCTAAAGACATCCAAGAAGAGTAGAAGAATAAATGGCCTTGAAATAAAGAAAGTCTCTCTGGAGCTTTGTTCAATCGGCTTTGTTAGAATTCACTCAAATAGGATGATTATAAGAAAAGATCTCATTTGTTTCAACATTAAAGGAGCAAATTAATATGTGGTGAGCTGCTAATAATTGCCTCATTATGTAGTGAATGGGCATTGCGTCCAATTTACAAAATTACAATCATATTGTTAAAGTAACAATTGGGAAAGTTTAATCTGAATTTCCTAACTATCTGTATGATTAGTTGTGGGATTCACAGAGGGAAGCAGAGTTGGTGGTTGGAGTGATCTCTCCAGTGCACCACCAGCCTATAGTGCTAAGGAGTCGCAAGAGAAATTCAGCTTTTCATTAGTGTAAAGTATTACATGTGCGAAGGTCTGAGCTAGATTTGGTCCAACTGAGGAGTCAATCTGGCAGCCTCTGCTAAGACGGGCACTTGGCACGTGACTGGTCTGTCAAGACATTGTCTTGTGGGACTCCACTGGCTTGTGCTGAAGTTTTGGCCAGGAGGTTGAGACCTGGCCTGAGATCATCCCCGCTTGGGACTTCAGCAGACCTACAGGTCCGTGTCTGGGAAACTTGGTGATCCAAGATCTGCGCCACTGGGAAATCCACCCAAGCAAAGGGTCCTGTAGCTGGAATTTCCGTCTCTTGAGGGAGACATTTGAGATGATAGGGGAGTTGTCTCAAATTGGAAAGTAACCAATTTTCCACATACTGAAATACTCTATGGAAGAGAATCATGTTTTGTGACCTACTTCTAGTTAGATTTGCTTGTGACCTTTTCTGATTCTGGCTGTTTTTGTTATTTAATGATTTGACCTTTGATTCTGTGAAGCCACTTCAGTGCTAAATGCAAAGATTTAATAACTAGAACTGTTTGATAAGTGACCTTTATTACACAGCTATTTCTCTTTGCTAGAGAAACAGCACTGTTTTGCAAGTTCTAATTCACAGTTTTAATTATCTTTTCTATTGTCTGTAAGCTTGCACAGGAAATGGAAAGGTCAGACATTTCATTTTCTTTACTGATTAAAATATAAGTGCTCCTCAACAGTTACAATGTATCATTCAGGAAAAAGATGGGACAATTTGTAAGAATCATATCCAGCTGCTCTGCTGAGGACTTCTATGTCCTTCTGGTCAGTGACAAAATGAATAATTTTCTAGAAGCAATAGGAGCTCAGCCCCTGCGGTGTGTAGAGGTGAAACGTGTCTAAATACATGAAAAGAGAAGAAAACATGAATGGCTTTTTCTTTAGCTCCTGTATCTACAATGTGAGTGAAGATCTTGTGAAAGGTGCAGGTAAACCCTTATCTGATGTTCTTGGTCCAGGGAGCATGAACAGTAACAGCGCAGGTTTCTGTATGGTCCTGCCAACCTGTATCAGTCCCATCTCTGCGGGTGAGAGGGCAGCCTGGACTGCCTGCCAGACCCATTTTTGGTTTCTCTGAGAAAGCTGCTAATGACTTTGTGTTTAATTGTTATCCTGGTGTTTGTGATGTGGACACCTGTAAACAGTTACTGTTAATTGCAAAACAGATCACCAAGAAGGCACATTTTCTCTAATTCTCTGGTTTTCATCTCTCTGTATTCCCTTTTCTGTGTCTAAGAATTTTCTCTCTGCTTCTGTTCATCCTTAATACAACCAATACAGCAAGTTAAATGGAAAAGTGATAGTTTCTCATACTGATTAGGGCTATTGTGGGATACCTTGCAGCCAAAAATCTGCACATGGGAAAGAGGTGGGAGGGATGTAGGACCTCAGAGTATAGGGTGAGGGGGAGCAATAGCACATCACTCCAGCTCCTCAAGGGTTATACAGGGCTTTCAGCTGTGTCCTAGTTCAGTAGCAGAAGTACCAGCCACAACTACCCAGGTGCTTCCCAATTCTGGCCCCTTGGGCACCCAAATCCCTGGGCCTGAATAGCTCCCGTGGGAGCCACCAGCCGGATGAATTGCATTTGAGCAGCTTTTGAGTCTTAAAGTGATGGGACAACTCTGAACTAGGGTGTAATACCAAACTGGAATGTTATGTTAAATGAGGAAAATGAGAAAGCTGTTTTATGTGGCTACTGAAATGGTCCCTTTTGTCTGTGACACTTACAAACCAACACCACAAGCTGCTGGCATATCTCAACATGGGAGTTCAACAAATGAATATTGGTGTATGTTTTCTCATATGTTGAGATGATACAAAAAGATACCAAAGTTAGTGGATGATTCTGGAGTCAGTGGAATGTCTGTTTTGAGTGTCAGTCAGTCTCCTAACTCTCTCTAGGATCTCTACTGGGAAATATGCATATTAGGACATGTAAAATTTCTCTACATTGTAAAAAAAATATTTATTCTGAGATAGGTCTGGGAGGGGTTAAGCCTCTGCCTCTATTGAAGAAGAGCAGATTATATGTTGACCTAGTGCAGGCATTCAATATTATCAAAGTGCTTTATAAATTGGAACAAGATAAATGAATCACAACAAAAGAGCTAGAAAACCGGGGGACACAATTGCAGGAGTGAGTGTACTCAGTTTATTCGAGCAGAACAGTTACACTCAGTGAATAGAAAATGTGCAATGCATTTCTAACTAAGGTCAGAAAATCAAACAATTCCAAATTTAAGAAAGCAGCTCTATTTTAATGGAGAAGGAAGAATATTGTGGAGAGGAAAAAACCAACCACCAACCCAAAAAACAACACCAAGGTGGAGGCAAATTTACATGGGACCAGATTCTTGACCAAATTGGCGTTTCCTATCTAGCATATTCAGCATTTGTTAGTTTGAAAGTTCACCCTGAAAGCTATAAATTAATCTACTGGGACTTTAAGAATTCACTTCATGTTAGGATGTGAGTTATGCTTATGGATTTGTTTAGGTCACCCAGCCACGTCTTCATAATGTATCTTAGAGAGGATTTCTGTAACTAAGCGGTAAACAGAAAGACTGTTGTGTTCAGCTGCATCTCTTGGGATTTCATCCCTGCTGGCAGAGAGCTATGCAGGACAGCTCTCTAAAACTACAACAGCTATAAAAAAATACATGGTGTTCTGTACAGAAAACGTTGCCAATGCTTTTGCACACAGTCAGGCATCTTTAACTCCTGATGAAATGAGGAAAGAATGTTTTCATGAACCACTCGCATAGAGAAATCAAACCTTTGCAACTGTGAGATTTACTGCGGAAGTCTTGCAGCATGCAGCTTAGATCAGTACAGTATTTGTCACCCCAAAATGATACATTTTAGCTGTTATAATTTGTCTCCCTTCAGATGTTCATCTCTTGTCCTTTTATTATGCACCATTATCAAAGAAATTTGATGCTTTGTCAGCCACCATGTCCTAAGGTTATAGTGCCTAAATGTAGCCAGCATATTCATCCACATCAGCTAAATGGGGTGGAATTTTGAAGGGAAATAACCACAAGCCTGATCAGAAAAGCGCCTAGCATCCTGTCAGGCTAAATGTCCGAAGAACATGAGGGGAATTCTTCCTAACATTAAACTGTAGTCACTGGCTCCTAATTGGGTGCACAACACAAGATCCAGTCTGTGACCATATAAAAAATTGTAGATGATCTGTCATCTGGACCTTCTCTAGGGTTGGGTTTTGGTTTTGGGTTTTTTTGATGGATCTAGTTTTCATTTGATTTAGATTTCCAACCAAATTTTTCATACAATCCAACTTAAATTCAGGGCATATCCTTTTAGTCTCTTGGTACAAAAGAGCCAAAAGACATTTACTCTTCACACTCTAACAAACGGAACATCAGGTAGGTCCCTCTATCTCTGTTAGACAGATAACTTTTCCTATTCTCAATTCATACTGGAGAAATAGTACCCTAGAAATTGCTCAGTCTTTGACTTTGGTTTGCCCAGAATTAAGTTCCTAGTTCATGTGTCAGAAGGCCCATCTGCTTCTCATTTTTCACAGGTCATAACTGTTCTCTGGAGAGAACAACGTATTCCTCTGTCTACATCTCCTTTCCAACTGCAGGATTTTCATGCTACTAGATTGCTTTTTAGAGTTACATCTCATGTTTGACTTCTGTCACAAATTTGGGAACTATTCATTCAGATGCATAAACACAGTCAGTGTATAGTTAAATTTCCAGCATTACTTTTTTTGTATGTTTTTCCTGTTGATGGCAACACCTTGTTAAAAGAGAATAAGGCATTGATCTAAATATTGGGTTTTGCTGCTTCTGTCTTTCGTTGTTTTCTAGTGGAAAGAGTAACATTTACAGGGGAAAAAAAAGCAGTGATTATTTTCCTAGTTGACTTTGCAAAGTGGAGAGCAAAAGAAAAGATTGAAACTGCCTACTTCACTAAAAAGTATTGCATTCAGAGCTTTGTAGTGGTAACGTTTTCTACCAGTTCTACCACCTCAGGACAGTTAGGTTTTTTTTAAAGAGAAACATTGCTATAAATTTGTTGAACTGTGCCTGTCATTCTTTTAATTGAATCTTCAGCCTTCATGTTTTATAGAGAAAGACTTGCCATATATTTTTGTTTTCTTTCTTCCAGCCTCTACAACTTGACTGTGACCTCTGTGCCATTGTTTCAAACTCGGGACAGATGGCTGGCCAGAAGGTGGGAGCTGAGATAGACAAATCCTCTTGCATATGGAGGATGAACAATGCTCCCACAAAGGGCTACGAGGAGGATGTTGGGAAGAGGACAACCGTAAGAGTGGTCTCTCACACAAGCGTGCCTCTCCTACTCAAGAATCCCGAGTACTTTTTCAAAGAAACCAACAACACTGTTTACGTGATCTGGGGACCTTTTCGAAACATGAGGAAGGATGGGAATGGCATTGTGTACAACATGCTGAAGAAAACTGTTGACAGCTACCCAACTGCCAAAATCTACGTGACAACAGAAAAGCGCATGAGTTACTGTGATGTAATATTTAAGAAGGAGACGGGAAAAGACCGGTAAGTCCTAGATGCGAAGAACAATTGTAATGTATGACAAAAGATACATGAGAGAAGCCCATGATGTATGCCAGCTACTAAATGAATCCCCAGATATGTTTTTAATGGATTGTTATATGGTTTTGACTGTTATAAGCACTTGATGAGGCAGCAGCTAGGCCCCATTTACCCCACCTACGCTACCTTCTGTTCTTTCCATTTCTGTTGGCTTGAGTCCCAAAAATATTGGATGTCTTCCTGAAACGTTTTCAAAGCTGTGTGTTGTTTTCAGCTCAATTTACTATTGATTAAGTTGACATTTTATTTGAAGAGTATAATCTTACACAAACAACATTTCCAAATGCACAACCTCAGGATAGCTCTGGATATTGTATTTTCTTCTCTGTTGCATTTCACTGTAGCTTTTCTTCAAACATAGACCTCAGGGTTATGCATTATTTCTGTTTCTTGGTGAAAATGGATTATCAGTGATACCGTAATAGATTTAGGTTTTTACCAGAATTATGCTGAAATTCTATTTTCCATGCCTGAAAATATGTGTTTATGTGTGTTTGTGCTGCTCAAGTGGGGGCTGTAGGGAGATAAAAGTGTGAGGGCCACTGTTTTGGCTAGCATGATCAGCACAGAAATTGGATTTGTGGAATTAAGACCGCAAATTGTAGGATTTTGTAACCAAGCTGCAAATATTCTGATCATCTGTATTTTGGCATGGAAAAGCACCTGTCACACATACTCACTGGAGCTAACTAGGAAGGAGTTTCCACATCACTGCTGTGCCTTAGTATTTATTTTTTGAATTTGCACATCATGAATTAGTGGTTGTGAAAGACTGTAGCTATTCTTACCAAACTTAAAATACACAAACAGTTTAACTTAGTCCAAACTTTTGACTTAGCTTTAGAAGTAGAATAGCTTGTTCGCTCAGACTTCCTTGATTCACTTAGTTATTTAACTGTCAAAACTTGGTTATTTATTTTTTCTTTTTTGAAAACTATTGAAACACAGGGAAGAACTTGCCTCTCAGCTTGTTCACCATGTACATGTTGCTGCTGTGATTCTGGAGTTGGGGGGAGCTCCTATATGTCATAAATGTGTCAAGGTTATCATGGCTTCTTTGGTTAAACTGAACAAGCTGAGGAACAGAACCTAATAGAGAAAATACGTAAGTCCGTTCTTCAAAAATGTCCTCTAATAATCAAAGTCATCCAGTTTACATATTAACCGAGCTAAATATGGTACATGGATCATGGGTACTTTATTGCATTGCTAAACATAAATTTGGTTTTATTTATGACTCTTCCAATTTAACAGTCAGTCAGGTCACAGTGACTTTACAATACTTTATCAAAAACCTTATTGTGAAACCAGACCTTAGTATCAATGAATCTCATCATCCAATGTCAAGTATCATCATCTCCAACCTAATTCATTCCTCTTCAACAGATTAACACATCTCAAGGTTTTATTATTACTCAATTAACACAATACAAATGCTTCTTTCCATGTCAAAGACAGATTAAACTTCTGTTCTCCCCATGCTTATAAACAAAGTTCATAAGCAGCCTAATGTCAAAATGGCCCAATTTCTTTCTCTGTAATCCGTTACAACAACTAAAAGTTTCACATTGCGAAGAGTGACAAATTGTAAATCGCCTGCCTCATGACCCACCTCACATTGCCTTTGCACATGCCTTCCTTTAACCCTGGGGAAAAAAAACCCACCACTTCTCACAGTGGTATCTACTTGCACCTACTACCACTTTCATTTTTAGTCGTACTTTTCCACACCAAATACTAAGTGGTGTTTTTAACATCATTTAGTGCACTTGTCAGCCAGAAACAAGGGAAACAATTGAGGTGTCACCAGCCAACACCTTCTGTATCACAAGAAAACATCCTGCAGTTCCCTACTAATCAGGGACCTCAGTTTTTGGAAACTGTTTCATTTTCTGTAACATCTTCAATTCACAGCAACCGTCTGTTGTTTCTAGGGAGGGTCATGAGGCTGTTAGAGGTATGTGGCATTTCTGGAAGCAGTGAAGGGAGAGCACAAGAGATTTGTGGGTGATGAAAATAGTTTCGCGTGTTGTGCCAGACTATTATGATGCTGAGACTGACTCAGGTTCCTCAGCCAAATATTCCTTCAGTTCCTCAGAGAAACATCAACTCTTGCTTGCAATATTAGATTGAACAGAGGTCTGTTTCAACATGTTCCCAGCAAAAATTCTGGAAGGAAACCAAGTTCAACTCATATTTTAAAATGTACTGAGTGGATTGTAACCACATCTATTTTAGTTTAATCCTAAAATACTGTCCGTATGTACAGTTTATGCTGCTAATGCATAGTAAGATTAGAACAGATTTCTAGTCTGTCAAGCCTTTAATGAGCTTTCTATTTCTACTCTTTGATGTACCATCTTTTTAGGTAATTAGTGGGACTTTTCAGTAGTTTCATACTAACGGTGCTCAAATTTTCAAGGATGTTATGAGAAGCAGCTAACAGCTATGTCCTGCAGTCACTTCTCTACTGCACAAAAGCTGTGGTCCTGTACCGCTGATGTTGGAACTTCATCCCTGACTTCACTAAGTGGAGGTTCAAAACCCACAGCTTCGTTACTGACAAATGGTTTATTGTTTGTTCATGGAAGAAACAAGAATTGCCTCTGAATAACTTCCAACTAACAAGTTTGTTTGTTTTGCAATGAAGCATTTTTTAATTCTACAGCAGTACAAAATACCCTCTGATATGGGCTATTCACGTGGCAGAGTTAACCTTGCATGCGGTGTTATCAATCTGGGGGACATATGTTCTTTCTGAGAGTCTTCATTAGTGAAGCATTTGAGTTCAAGGCGGTGAATGCTCATCCACTTTGAATAATTGTTGTACATAAATAATATTCATTACCAGACATTCACAATTTTTCATTAATGCATTTTACTTGGTACTTCCCTAGAGGGAGCATAAAGTTAGCAGCTTCTTCCAGTACTTCACTAATGTTTTGGTATATTATATGTATTGAGTCAAGTCAAAGGATTTAAAGAAACACTAGGTAATTACTAAAGGTGGCATCTTTGTATGTACCTCAATGCAGGTAAGTGGTTCTAAAGCCATCTGTATCTTTGCCATGCATTAGAAATATAATGCAATATGAAATAACAGCATTTAATTGGTAATAACAGAGAAAACTGTAGTCTTCATTAAAGCTGCAGAGCTAATTCTGGTCTGATAAAGTGCACTGAACAGCCCTAAATAGGTTTTAATTAGCTGGCACCAAAGCTGCACCACCCTTAGGGAGGGTAAAATTAATGAAAACTAGCAGCAAATAGATCAATGCTACTGGATGTTATTGCCTTAGGTGAAGGTGATGAGGAAGAAAGGAGTGTCTTTTAAGGATCATTTAGAAAACAGTCTGCGTTAAAAGTCACTTTCAAAAAGCAATGATGGAATAAATCTGTGCTAATATCAGTGGAACAGTCTAATGTCATCCACACTGCAGACTCCGTTTGTGTTTATGCTACAAACATTTCCAAGTAACCACTCATCGCAGTATGGCCGAGTAGAGCCTCTGATGGCACCGCTCCACGTCCCCTCTTGGGGCTGATGGTGTGATCAGACTGCTCCTCTCCCACTGCACGTGGAGAACGTTGAGCCCCAGCACACAGCCAATAACGCGTGTGCTGATACCACTTAAAGCACAGCTTAACTTGGTGTCTGTATTCACTCTTCTTATAAATAAATGAAAAGAGCCTGCTGAGCTTTGCTGAGGATATGTATTCTGAGCTCCTAAAATTCCTGTTAAGACACATGAGATAATGTTCTCCAACCCAGGCAGTTTGGTAGACAATTGACTTTGCACACACACTGTCTTAACTTTGACAGCACCCTTCCTATGCCCAAACAATTTAGTTCAATTCGACAACGTTTTTATTAAGATTATTAGCTTTACAAGCGTGTCTACAGGAGGCAGGTTCACTGAGCCACATTTGCAGTCAGATGGCTGTTTCTGAAGAATTTCTGTTAATATCTTGGGTAATTCCAAAGAAACTAAATAGCTTTTGTGCTTTTCTTCCAGAAGTTCTTGGTTTCCTCTGTTCGTGCCAGATGGTGCTATGTGTTAGGTTGTGAGAAAGCTGTTTTATCATTTGAGGCAGAAAGATGGATCATTCCGATCACTGACTTCTGCATGAAGATTCAAAATTTGGGGGTGTGCTTAACCTGCTATTTTACTCAGTTCTGTTCACTAATTATTTATTACTTTGGTGATATATGAGATCTATATTATATCTCTGTCATTTAGAGCTAGCAAATTATATTAATCTAAAGTTCGGATTGACATTGTTAGACAACTGCAGTCATCACAGCTTCACCTCAGCTAATATGTGGTTTTTGACGTGTCTGACTAATCTGAAGCTGTAGTCTAGTAAAAATGTCACTGAAATGAGTAAATGAAATTACGTTCTCTGAGTCTCAAGTAGCTGCAACTTCTGTTGTTTGGTGATATTCTCTGTGAATTGAGGTAATAAAGCTCTCAGTGGCCAGAAAGTTGGAGTTTTATGCCATATTTCTGGTTTTTGGCTTGAATTATTATGGTAATGCTATTTCCACTTTTACATGTGCTTACTTGACTTGGGAAGTACCCATTAGGGCTTTGTATTAACATGTTTTTTCTAAAAAAAATTAAATTCTGGAAGATGAGTAAAAGTTCATTTCATTTTGAAAGAAAATTAGCAAAGTTAGGAAACATCAGCATCTTTAAATTACAGAACTCTTGCATGAAAATCATGGAAAAACTGATTCAGACTGACTGGGGAAGACAGGGGACTGACAAAAAAAGAATTGTAGTTTACATTTTGATATAGTCATTATCATGATGATGTTGTGTCTCCTGCTGCACCAGTAAATTCAGCAAAATGTTCTCAACTGCCTGTGAGCACCAGCAAGCCCCAAAACATGTGTTTGATGTGGTGACCATTTTTCGAGTGCTTGATGGTGGATCTTT